GAAGGTAAAAAGAGCATCTTACTTGTAACTCCATCTGGAATTGCTGTGATAGTGGAGTTACTGGTTTTGCACTAGCCTAAAGAGCTGCCAAATCCTAAAGCATTAAAGTTGTATCTCCACTTGGCTAGTCTGATTTTTCAGCTGGGTGGAAGGACTAGCAAATACATACGCATCTTCCAACTTCCCCTTGCTTTCCAATACTGAGTCCATAATTCTTCTTCCAAAAAGGGAACCTGTCAGCAGCAGCTATCTAGTAGCCATTGTGCTGTGTTTGAAACCTTCTGTCTATAGGGTCTGTGTCCTGATGATACTGCCTTAATCGCTTCTTGCAGTAAGTTTGTGTGTTTGTCTTTGGAAGCTGTGTTGCTTCTTGATTAATTGATGGACATTTAGACCAGCACTCTTCCTACTATCACAGAGCTTATGATGGAAACTCTTGAAGAACCTTGCTTTAACCTCCCAGACGCTTAGCACTTCTTCATGGGGTTTATATCCATGTAGAAATGAATTTGCTAAGACAAATGAATGCAGTTATTGACTGGAGCAGCCGTTACCTGCCGCTATTGAACAGTTAGGAGAGGGTTAAGAAGAAAACCTATTCTGAGCCACTAGATTGGCCCTGACTAAGATGAATGTCTAATTCACTCCCAGCGTCCTTACTGCTGCCAGTAATAAAAAGCTTGCTTCACATATTCACCCCACTGCAGACGTTTCTCTTAAATTAAATATCAAGAGGACATATACTAGCACGATTCCACGCCAAGCCAATATTATCAGATTGATGTCAGCAGTGATAATAGAAGAAGGATAAGTTGATGAGATTTCATTTATTAAATAAAGTAAAGGGAATACGCAGTGATAGAGAGGATTTGGTAACTCTCGGTGTGTCAAAATGCAGCAAGATCATGCTCGTTCTGTCTTACCTCAAGGGATAGCAGAGAGCAGGATGCCCTTTGTTTCATTTTAAGAAAACCTCTCCCTTCTTTTCGAGACAAAGACCTGATTTAGATCCCTCCATGGGAGCGGGAGAGGAAGTTCTGAAGTCATGGATGTCATGTGTACATAGCCTTCCTTCCCACTGAACAGCAGTGAGGCAAAGGTTTCTTTCCCCACTATGATGGGGGAGGCACTGCTAATGAGTTTTGTTTCTAGGTTCATCCTTCCCTTTTTCCCCACTTGTCATCTTTTCTTCTTTCCTCTTCCTTTAAACAGATGAGAGCGTGCATTATTGGTTTCATCTTTCATTTTCTGTATGTCCTGCATTTATTTCCAAGATATTGTCAGAGCTCATCTCCCATACTTCCCCATCCTCAGATATTGTCCTCACCCCTCCCAGCCCAGCCTTTCTCTCTTGCCTTTTTCCTAGCTGCTGTAAATGAGCCTCTTACATCTGTTTTGATAATAGCGATAGCAACCGCAACGTGTTTTATTTTAGGCAGAGGCTAATTGTCTACCTTATTTGGTGGCATAGAATCATAGAATCATTTAGTTGGAAAAGACCTTTAAGATCATCAAGTCCAACCGTTAACCTAGCACTGCCATCCCACGACTAAACCATGTCCCTAAGCACCACATGTGCCTGTCCTTTAAATACCTCCAGGGACGGGGACTCAACCACTTCCCTGGGCAGCTTGTTCCAATGCTTGGCATACTACGCTTAAAACTGTGACCCATTTTAGAAGAAAGGTCAAAGCATACTAGCCTTCTGCTCTGTATGTACTCAGTCCTCATCCTGCTCTGCCATGTTCCTTCCCCCTCGTTGTTTAAGAAATAATAATAAAACCCCTCAAACAATGAGACGTTTACCAAGAGCAGTGTAGTGGAGTGTCCAGAAGATTAATTTTTCTAAAGGTTATTTAGCGCCAACTGCCTTGAGCTGGGCTGTGGTTGAAGGGAGATAGTTGATGAAGGTCCACCTCTTTTGGAAGTCAATGTGCCATTGCTCTCAACAGAGATGTTTGTAGTTAGACACTGCTGGTCTCCATCAGGTTTTTCATGTTTAATTTCTTTTCCTTTCAGATATGTACGAGTAAAGCCAGACAACTGTAAGGTGCAGCTGGTGTATAGGGCATTAGTTCCCACTTGTGTGGACATGTTGCAACCTGAAGTTAAAAGGCTTAATGAGAGCAGGAGAGTGGCCTCTTTTGAGTCTGATAGGACAGGAGTAGCGATTGCTGTGCTGGGAGGAAAGCTCTTCAAGCGATTCTTCACCGAAGCAGTTCAGATAGCCCTTTTCAGTCCAGATGGGTACCAGAACTAGTCTGCTGGACGTGGGTGACGTGTGTACTCCCGGACTCTGCAGGATATGCTTCCTTATGGCGGGCTCACGTTTACGTCTTGTCCCTTCGTTTCATAGATCATGCTGCACGGTGGGGCACAGTGACAGTTATCTCCCGAGCAGCATGAGCTTCCTGCTGTGAAGTGAAATGCCATTCTCAGTGGGTTTTAACTGGTTCTGTTGAATTTCCAGTTCACTTGTGAATGCACTAATATATTGGTTTGTGTAATTTGTATTGATAATTACCATAACCAACTTGGCGTTATATTGATTAGTTTCTCTAAATCTGTTTTGCGAAGCTGGTGCAACTGATGCATAACCACAGTTTGAGGTTTTATTTTGAAGAAATGAAGGAGAATATTCATGTTATGATTCTGGGTGCTTGGTACCAAACCAATCCTCTCTGCGTTGTGGGAAGTCACACGTATGAATGCTGATTTAGGTACACGCTGGGCAATGCATGCAGTTCTGTGCTGATTGATCCCTTGCCACTGGTGTAGGCTTTAGGCAGCAACACTCTCACTCTGTGGCTTCTCACTCACCACTGCGTGGTTTTTAACCAGCCCTCTGCGCTGTGGGCTGAGCGCCTCTTCCGAAAGAAGAGGGCCATGGACTTTGCACTGCTGTCTGAGCCCACAAATGGGTCCTAGGCTTGCATTTACTCTAGGCAGTGAAGACTGATGCCATAGGAGGGACGGTGAAGGAACAGACAAAAAGAAAAGGTTCAGTTCCTATAGCTCTTCATGCCGACAATGGCAACCTCAAGCATTCTTAGAAATATTTTTCTGAGCTCTTTGTACCATATTGTTCAGTTCAGGTGAATACAGGCTGGTGTGTGGCATGCTGTACCTTTTTGCTCTTCCAACTCTCTGCATGAAAATTACAAAATGCCCTTCAGTTTAACATGGCTGAGTCTAAAAAACCTAATTTTGAAAGTCTTAACTTTTTCAATGAATTGAGGGATTTGGTGGTATTTCCTGACCTGGTATTGTTTGGTATCGTTTCTACAGTCTCGCTGATTTGATTAGAGTGATATTAAAGTTAGTGACAAAGCAAAATGCCAACATTATGAGTTTCTGAAGCTCTCCCTGGGTTCTTTTCTATTCTAAAATTTGAAGATTTTTTTAGAATATGGATTTTTAGAGGCTTTCAAGGTGATTTGCTATAGAACATAGAAATTAGAAATGCACACTAGCCTCTAGGGACTGTGCATGGAGTAAGTTTCTTATAAAAGATGTAAGATTAGTGAAGAGGTGGAAAAAGAAGTCTCTGTAGTATCTTCAGTGGTTTCTGATCCAAACCTCAGTGTTTTAGAGCATGGCTGTTATAGTGCTACTGATAAATTTAGTCTGTCCATGTATGTTGGCAGTAGGACTGGGGACTGAAGGAAGTATCATTTAGAGTATGTCTCAACCAAACTATTTTGAGGGAGCAACCAGGTTGCTGATATGGAAAGGACAGATTTTTTTTTTTTTCTTTTTTTGGCCCTTCTGTTTGCTTTCCTGAGCACCTTACAAAAATGAGCATGACTTGGAAACTCATATCTGAGCTCTCCAAAAGCTTTTAGAAGATCTTGGTTTAAGATTTCACATTTCTTAGAAATCTGTTCCACCTGAGAGGATGAGAGATGCCTAGGACCAGGCCATGTTTTCTTCCTCCCTGGTTACGGAAGCCCTGTTGCTGAATGAGTGCCTGTGGTTGTTACGTGGAAATGAGTACATCATAGCACGGCATTAATGCCTGCCTGTAGCATCAAGTGCTTTGGAAGGAAGAGGTGTGTTTGATATTTGGACACAAATCTCTGTAAGCATATTGAGGCAGAAGATGCAAGGAATTAAATGGATTTGTGGTTTAGGAGGCGGCATCTGAGGATTGCTGCACCTAAGCATATGTTCTCTTGTTCTCTGGTAAAACACACCATGGCAATTGTGCTGCAAATTCCTGCAATTTGTGTCTGCCTGTCTGTGCAGCTGATGACACTGTCGTTTCTGTGGTTGTGCTATTGTTGCTGGTATTGTTTTACAACGACCTTCCCCTTTATTGGTACTGTTGCTGATGATGTGCCATATGTACACATGCACATTAGAGTATAAGAACATCATCCCTAATTGTTCTTGGGTAGCTGTCAATGCTACTTACGGGGTATGAGTGCTAATTGCTTCAGAAATACAAAGAAAAAGATATCTGGTCTTGCTATTATTCCGTTTTCCCTAGTCAGTAGCAGAATTGTAGTGCTTCCAAACATGTTGGATTTTTTGAAGTGTTTAAATAGATAGGAATTCAATAGATCGAGGCGGCTTATTCAACAAGTCCGTTCAGTTCCTTGTCAGACTGTTACAGATCTAGTGCAGGCCCAGACAGGATTCCCGAGTTCTGCCAGAGATTTCTAATGTGAGCTGGGGAAATCAATGAACCTCTTGGAATTGATTTTATTTTATTTTTTTTTTCCCCTGACTGCAGAGGAGAGATCTTGTTTTATTTAGGGTAAACCAGCCTTCCACACCAACCCTAGAAAGAAAGTGTTCCTCCTTTCCCCTAAGCACTCAGGATTTTTCAGCTGAAAGACACTGTTGGTCATTTGACCCACTTTGGTGATTGCTGCTCCCACTGGTTTCTCTATTTTTTAGGGGTAGGTGACTCCAATACAAGATTAGTATGTGTGTCAATGGTAGTGAGTGAAGACTCTTCTTCACCTATCTTTCTGTGCTTATTTTCCCTGCAGGAGGAGGAGCACTGATCCTGTCTGTGCAAGCCTGCAGTCTGAAATTCTGAAGTGCTACCAAGAAAACAAACGTGAAGTGCTCAAATGCTCGGAGCTGGCTAAGAAGTATCAGCGCTGTGTTAGTGCTGCTCAGAAGGTAACAAAAGCTTCCCTGTTGTACTTGCTGGCTTTGCTGTCTTGTTTTGCATGGTGTTTTCTCCTGGGAAGCGTGTCTGAGAGCTGTGGTATCTGTTAGTCAAATTGCAATGTTCATAGGAGACCATTTTTCTTTGGGATCTGTTTTCCCACATTCATTCTGCATTTCCCAGTCACACTGTGGTATGTCCCAGCTTCGCTCCCGTCAGTGGGTCCTGTTATACTGAGCTGCCACTAAAACGGTAGCGCTGATGCTCCTAAGATGCAAAGTCCGTCACAATAATTTTCCCAAGTTTTGCTTTCTTGGATGCTGTATTTTGCAACGAGTAGGCATTTTGCCCATGCCGGCAGCATTTTGAACAGGGTCTAAATATCCTCCCATTGTGGGGGGCAACCTCTTGCCTCCTTTTGTTGCTGCATGAGGGAATCTTTACTGGGCAAAGCTGCTGCCTGTTAAAAAAATTCACAGTTCTAGAAACTGTTCATCTTGTGCAAGGGGGCCAGCAAGCCTTATGGCTCTTCCTTCTGAGATGCAGAGCCCTGGTAGATTCTGTTGATGCCTTAGGACAGTGGCTGCTCAGTACCTTGGAAGAGTTTCTGGCTATTGAAATAAGTGAAGAAAGGAAAAATGAAGTATTTGGACATTACAACTAGGATATAGTCTTGGGAAAAGTGAGTGGTAAGACAAAAACTGCTGCTTGGGATGCCTGGAGTGTAAAGGATGCTGCTCCCCACGTGAGAGTTCAGTGGGTCAGGTGTCCCTCAAGGGCAGACTTTTTTTTGGGGGGGGGTGTGTGTGCAGAAAATTCTCAAAAGGTGCTGAGCCTATAGTAAGGTGGACTTGGGGAAAAGGGTGGAGCCTTCTGGGAATAGAAAACTGAGTCTCCTCTCATGGGATTACTAATGCAAAGGGGAGAGGTGGAGATTTCATAGAAGCAGTCTTTCTCTGTCACATTAGCATTGTGAGGGGAAGCTGTATGCCTGATTTAAGTATAACATGAAACAAGCTGCCAGCCGGCTCCCAGAAGAAGCCCAACAGAAGGAGATGGGAAAATTGTCAGGATATATTAGACCAAATGTTGTTGCTAGTCCTAGTGGAATTTTTTTCCTTCCTGTTTACAAAGAAGGTCTTTGTATGTCTGCAAATCAGCAAGGTTAAAGCTGCCAGGGAAAGGGCTTTTCTCTGATATCTTTAAAGTCCCCAGCTCCCAAAACGTGTGGTTTCTTTTTCTTTCTCAGCTTTAAAGTAAAGCGGTGCCTGTGCTGCCACTGCACAATCCATGCCCTCTGTTGCTGTGTGCAGAGCACTGGCGCATCCATTGCCAGCCTCCGTTACCTGATGCTTCCTCCTTGCCTCCTGTAAATCAGGCTTGAAGCCTTTTCAGTGGAGTATATCTTTAGCAAATGCATTTACCAATACATCTTTATTGCATGCAGTGCGGGCGGAATGTGATTACCAAAGAAGACAGATTGCATTAAACTTCAGCATATTTGCAAGCTGCGGCTCCAACCCGCCTGAGAAAGGGGCTGGGACGCTGCCAGCCCTGAGCCCCAGCCCGACATTATTAAAGAGTAAATTGGAAGCTAAATGACTGGTAACAGCAGAGGGCAGTGGAAGATCCTATTAACTTGGATCTTTTTTGGATTTGGGTGGTGGTGGGGTTTTTTGGTAGATTTTCTTTATAAACCCAAAACTGGGAGTCATCTTGGTTCCCAGAGTGTTCAGTAAACTTCAGAATTTTTTTTCCACACTGTTATAGAAACCTTCTGAAAGAAGCATTGCATAGGACATTAATTTGCTGTGGATGATGACAATGGGGCAGAAAATCTCCTTACTATGTTTTAAGAAGGGGTGAGAGAGGCTGAGGAATAGGTGACTAAACTTTGCAGCTAGATATAGGTGCTGGAGGGTTCTGCAAGCACAAATTCAAATAAAACTTGTGTAAGGCAGTACATCTTCTGTAGTTTCCTTTGTCCCAGAACAGCTCAAGCCCTGACAATTTGCCTCACTGCTCTCACTGAGTCCTCTGACTCCTGAGATATATGTAGCGATCACAAGCTGTTGTTTTTTTTTCTTGAAGCATTAAAACTCCCTCCTCCCTTCCCCTTTTAAGCTGTTATTTTTCTTTAAGTTTAAATTAGCATCTTCTACCAAATGGCTTTGTCTCACGCATTCCTCATTCAGGAAATTCAGGTTGGAGGAATGTGGGAAAGAGAGGCCAGAATCTCTTGATTTCTTGGGTGTTTTTTTCCTTTTTTTTTTTTTTTTTTTTTCTTTTAAACACAACTTGTTTTCCAGTACAGGAGGTTATAATCAAAGCTGGATGTGTGACTTCAGCTCGCTTGCACGCTGGTGATTTGTTCTTCTGCTTTTTACTAAAGATTTTATAAGGCTTGGTGAATATTCTTTAATGAAGCATCTGGTTCTCTGCAAGTCCTTTTTGATGGCTGGTAAAAATGTCTCCAGGGCATGGTATACATTAGACTCAGAGAGAGCAAGCTCTAGATTTCTAGGCTGAAAATTACAGTTTACAGTGGATGAGAATAATTCTTTGCATCTTCCCCCTTACTGTGTTGGCTTGAGACTGTTCCTTTGGGCACCCATTTCCCTTTGCCTGTTGCTGTGCGCATCTCTGAGCCGGGAGCCGAGATGTGCCCTCAGTTACTTCTGCCCCACGGACAAATATATCAGGTAATCATTTAATGAGTTTTGAAATTTATTTTCTACTCATTTCCTGCACAGGCCCTCTTACTGGAACAGGTTACTTTATTGTAGTGCGTGGCAGGGATAAAACTGACATTACCTGTTTGTATGTTTTCTGGCCACCAGGGCTGCATCTCCCCCATCAAGGGAGAGAAATAGGCACTGCTAGAGGATGGTGCATCTGATCCTAAAACAGTCCTCTGAAACAGGTCAGCTGAATTGCCATCCACGAGTGAATCTTTCCTCTCTGCTGCTTGGGAGGCACATCCAGACCATGAATTCCAAAGTTAATGCCTGTAGTGGGATGTTCATAGAGTTATGGGAGCAGGATCCCCCTCTGACTGCCCACTTTTGTAGCTTTTATGCTTTCAACTTGCCCCGCCTAACTTGCTCACTAACTTTGCCGTTCATACCATCCTGAATGTTAAGCTTTGATTGCCTCGCTGCAGCGGCGTCAGCCCACTTAGGCTCTGGGTTGCTTGCTGCATCCTGTGCTTTGCTTATGTGGAAGCTCTCTGACTTTAGAGTATGTTACTGTAATGTCTCCTGTTTAATTTAGGAGTGTTTTATCTTTTCTGGTGGTCTGTTTTCATGGCTCTGCAGAACTTCAGCTACAGCATAAAAATCGCTGGCTTTAAATCTAATAAAAGCTTGGATAATGGGACAGCTGTGGGAGGGGCAGTTCCCATTGTGTCTTTTAAAATTGCCTGTAGTTTATTGACCACAAGTTTCACCAAGAGCTACTACTGCTGTTAGATAATGAGAATTGAAAATTGCTGCTGCTGTTTCCCCAAGGTTTTATCTCATGCCAATGAGAAGAGGGTGTGGAAGGAAAAGGAGAGTGGGCCGTGGAAATCTGCGTAATTTCTTACTTTGAGTCCAGATGGAAGGGAAAAACAAATGATTTTTTTTTTTTTTTAAGTCTGAGTCCTGTTACTGAATTGCTTCCCTCCCCCTGCAAATATGCACTCACATGCAAGATTTTCAGATTTTGTGACCCATTCTGCATCCCTTACGTCTTGTTCATACCAGTAGGCAAATCTGAATTTCTATTGAATTTTAGTTGGTTAATTTGTTATGTAATTGGTGGTTGTACCAGGGAATCTCCAACCAGCTGCCACTTGAAAAATGCGGCCTCTGGTGACCATATATTAACGTGATTTGAGATTTCAAACAGAACCCACTTCTTGCGACTGTGCAGAAAAATGTCTATTAGTGAAGAGTGTGTATCCCTTTCTTTCCAAGTGTTTTCTTACTGTCTCTAGGTGCTTGTCTTTCACAGAAGGACCAAGGTGAAATTTTTGCGCTCTAGCTCCTGGCCAAACCAAGCTATATACTCAGACACATGTATTCCCTTGTCAATAGGAGCTGTATACATTGAGCTAGGAGCCATTCATAATTCTGCACTCTTTCTCCCTATTCTGTGTCCAGCTTCTCACGAGTCTGCTATTCATAACAGACAAAGGTAAACCTACGTCTATCAAGGCTTTAGGGCTTGTCTACATGAGGAAATTACAATGCAAAAACTGGTGAGTGAGTTTACGGTACAGCAACTTCTCTGTGTATGAACATTCTCGGTTTGTAATGGAAGAGCAGGGAAAATGCACGCTCGTTTACTGCGAGTCACTCTGCTATGCAAACAAGCCCTTGCAAAACACTGATTGACCAGGTTCCAGCGGAGGTAGGCTTTTAACATAACCTTGAGTTGACTGCATTCTTCTGTGCCCTTGACTGTAATAAAAAGGAACGTGGTCAATTTACTGCTCCTACTTTTCCAAGTGATCCCTGTGAAAGCCCAGTTCCTGTTTGGCACACATAGCAAAGCCTTGCAACTCCACTGGAAGTTTGCCTCTAATCTGTGGGCAGTGACCTAGATTGCTGAGAAGGTGCCGCAGGTCGTCGTGCAGTGTCCTGTCCTGATGGAGCAGCTTCGCTCAAGCGTTTTTGGATCCTCTGGGAACTGTCGTTTCTGCAACCTCAGTCTCTCTCTGCTCAAGAGAAAAAGCTTCAAGGATGCATTGGATGCCACGGGCTGGGCTGCAGGTATCTCTGATCATTCTGGATCATTAGGCTTTTTGTTAAAGAGATGTTTCCATTCTGATGGATTGCAGAATGCTTTATAGATTGTTTAGGTACTTATTGGGGTAGAGAGTGGCAGTCAGCTGTGTGACTGTGGGAAGAAAGTTTTGGCCAGATATAGTGAGGTCCATATCTGTATTTGAGAAACAGCAGGATTTCTCCTCCCCTGGGATTCTGCAGAGGTAGATCTTAGCTGTTGAATGTCTCATTGAGGAGATATAAATATATCACACGGTATGCTACTTGAAATGCAATATATTTAACTTGGAAGGCTTTAGGGTTGTTTGAGCTTTCTGAAATTCAGCTTTGTCGTTTCAGATAAATCTGTGATGATAGGCCCAGCCATCCTCAGCCGCCTGCCCTGCCTTTTGTCGGTTGGTCCTTGCTCAAAGCAAACATATCTATAACGTGTTTTTTCTTGCCTTCTCTGTAAAGCCAATTCTCTTTCTTTTTTTTTTTTAATCTTTCTGTTTTCCAACCTTTATTTGTGCAAATGCTGTGGTGATAACACTATCAGAGGAGCTTATGACTCAATAAACGGCCCCCACAAGGGAGCCGGTGGAGAGGCCGCAAGCTGCAGGCAGCTGCTGTTTGTTCAGTCGCAAAGGCAGGAGAGCAGCAGTGGATTAACTGTACCCAAGCACACCCTGACCTGTTATTTGCAAAGGTGAAAAGGATCCATATTTTGCTTCTAATTATAAAGGCTGGAAACAGTTATTGGTTTGATTTTTAAGGCAACAGTTCTTGGTTCTGCAAGTCTTGGGTCCATACACAACACATCATATCCTCAAGAATTCATCAGTGGATAAACTAAAAATACAGAGCTGCCTGAAAGGATGTGTAAATCACCATATTAATATATGAGGCATGTCCCAGAGTAAAATGCTGGCCTACTTAAAACGGAAATGGCTGCTGCCTATACCCAATATTTACAAAACTGGAGGGCTAAGTTCTTTATTTGCTTTGTGTCTCAGCACTTCATGAAGCCCTGATGTTCCCCACAGCCTGGCGTGTCTTCAGCACTTAATAACCTACATGAACAAGTACCTCTCTCTGTCTGCTGTTTGCAGTCCACATAATGCCCAAACATGGCACCTCCTGAAGTTTGTCATTTTTGAAGAAAACAAGTGCATAAATAAGCTTAAAACTTTTCTGCTCACTTAGTTGTGCTTCAAGGCTCCTCTTCCAGAGATACTTACTCCATACCCTGCATTATCTTTCCTCTCCAGTTCTTGTATCTATTGCCTGGTCCGGAAGGAGGACTTGTGACCCCATTTCTCTTCTCAAAAACAGTCTGTTGTCTAACACTCCAACGCACAGTCCATGTGCATTTAGTTTTGGTTTTCTGGTTTTCGTTTGTTTTTTTGACATTGTGAGGCAGAATTGCCTTTGGGTCTAATTTCTCGCTCGATGGTTCTGATCTCAGATATACTTACAGGTAAAGTTAATCTAAGCATGCATGTTTCACCGATGGTTTTGAAGGGAACTTTGTTAAAAGAAGGAAAGAAGTCAGAATACCATTACAATTTCTGAAGTTAACTGTTTGGTATTTTGTTAGTTCTGAAATGTGGTCTATGCTACAGTTCTTGTTTTAAAACTTAGTTTGCCTGAACCTGTTTAAAAGCCATCTAAAAATTTTTCTATAATAAAAATACTGTGAGAGCTAGCCAGTCAGGAACGAGAAGTCATAGCTGACTTGATGCTGTGATGTGGTATTTGAGTGTGTGAATCTGAAAAGGCTCATTTGAAGTTGAGTAGCAAAATTTCAAGCAAAGTAGGGCCAAGCACTATTGGGAAGGGAATGTTTTTCTGATGTATTGTTCTCTCTCTTTTTTTAAAAAAATATTTCTCTTTTGGCTTAAATTAATGAGACCTACACAGATCTACTGTATCAAACAGGTTTCCCTAATCCTGTGCTCTCTGTATGGTGTGTTAGGGAACGTTTTCCTGAGAACTGTAGCCTAAGTCAAGCTTATCTAGTATGGGAAATAGTTGCTTCGGGGTGGGAGGGTGTTGTGATACATCATGCTGGTTTAATGCCAGATTTTTTCACAAAAGATTTGTAGCACTGTGTTGGCAAGTTGGAAGTGGAAATTCTTACTCAGATTAATTCAGGAGACTGATGACCAAGCAGTCTTGGACAGAAAGAAGTTGATTTCCAATTTTAAAGCCATGTGTTTTGCTGCAGAAGTTAGATTGAAACAGATCCACAAAAATTGCTGTCGATAGCAACTGCTGGTTAGAAGCACAAGGTCAGTGGTCAAATGCCTTCAGACTTCCAAGAAGTTCCAAAATAGCCCTGACTTCCATAACTTCCGTGCTAATGTTAGATCCGTTCCCTGACAGCATGGCTATAACTTGGGAAATTATATCCGTGATGCCAAAGTCTTCATGACAAACTGGGAAACCAAAGATTTGTTATGCTCCTTGTTGGTCACAGTCTGCTCAGGATAGTTTCCCGCTACATGCAGTTTGCAGTTTCCACACACCATCCATCAGCTGCTCTTGTTAGTAGGTCTTGGGGCTGAATGCCCTGAGGACTACCAGGATTTAAAGCCTTCACCAATCAGCTGAATGTGTCTGTGTAGATAGCATGTATGGGGGTTATTCTGGTGCCAGTGGTCCCAGTCCAGTGGAAGAATGGCTAGCAAGCAAGCAAGACTGTTCTAAATATCCCTTCTTTGCAGTGCCAAAGAGAACTTGGGAAGTTAACAACGGATGAGCCCTCCTGTTAGTAGGAAGCAAATCCTTTTCTCATCAGAGCTGTGGCATGTTGGAGGAGAAGGCTTAGGGAAGTTGCCCTGATGCTGCTTGCAAGTGCTTGTTCTCTCCACAGAGCCTCTCTGTCCAAGACTGTGGAGCATTCATCTGTTAAAAAATCTTAACTTTATGGGGAGGTTTCTCTCTGTATCATGACTGCACAACTTGTTTGTGGGTTTCACCCCCCTGTCTGCCCAGCAGGCCTCTTTGTCTGAAGATATTTCCTAGTATGCTTGTGATGCTTCCAAAGCGATTTAAAGGTATCAGTCCTAGCTAGGCCTTCTCAAGCCAGTGTAAGTAACCTTTCTGGACACCAGTGCTTCAGATATAAGAACAAGACGTGTTGAAGACAGCGTGTTACAGTGATTTGACTATAGTGCTAGAGGTAGCTCTGGTGCTGATCTTTCATCTGTTGGCAGGAAACTTTCTTTTGGTTATAACATACTTTTTCATTAGAGGCCTTTGGGGGCCTTTAGGAGTTGGTGAAAGGCTCTTAAAGACCTCTACATTCACAGAAGCTGTCCAGAAAGCCAATGCTTGTTATAATGAGAGTTTGTTACCTTTGTAATATGAGGGAAGCAGGTAGTGAAGCCTTGAGTTAGGATGGTGCTGCAACATCTCACGTATCTTATTGTTTCTGAACTTGGAGAAGTGCGCTGCTCTACTGTGTTAAGCCTGAGTGTGCATCCAGAAACGCAGACAAAATTATTTTGACAATGTGTTTGCTCTTTGTCCCTGCTGAATGCCTGTTTGTCCTGAATAAATGGATTTCAGGATCAGCCAACCTCCAGCTCTGAATTAGTCTAATAAGGTATGGTATGTCAGGTTTAAAGGTCGTTTTGCAAGCAGCTGGGTCCCTGCATATATTAGGGGGAATGATTTTTAAAATAATGCTATTGGAAAGCTGTTGATTGAACTTTTCAAATATCTGTACACTGTAAAATCTCAGCTCTTCTGCCTCTGTCCTTCAAGCTCTCTGCCCCCTGCCTGCTTATCTTTCTGTCATTTCTGATTACCTCCACCCATCTGCCTCTGCATTCTCTCCCACTCGGTTTATCGGTCCACACTTGCTGCCCACAAAGACTGGGTTTATTTTTCTGAGTAGATCATCTGTTGGGTTACTTCACTGAGCTGTGTAACAGAAAGCTAAGGGTTACTTGGTTCAGTCTATTAGTAAAGCATTATTACACTGTTCTTCTGTTGGGGGACTGGGAGCTCTGAATGATCTCCATTACATCTGCAGCATTTTTGTGTCTTTGCAGGTACCTAGTTCCTTTCTCAGGATGAGTTTAGCATTGGTGAAAGATCATTATGAGATTTAGTTAATTTTTGAACACCTGAATGGGTTGAAGTGCTTACAGCAATCATTCCAGCTTCCTCTGTGGAGTGTGTACTTCAATCCTGACCTGATCGAAGTGTTTCATATGGAAATGGAGAATGTTTTTCTTCATTTATTTGTTCCCTGGATTCCTCTCTGAGTTTGCTGGTGAGAGTGATTTCAAGTGTTGTGGTGATTTATATGCTGTGGATGCTGTCTTAAAAACTGAAGGGAGTACCCACTTGTCCATGTCATGCAAGCCTTTGTCAGGTGGCAGTGTCCTTCTGCCAGCTCTGAGATGGTGCCTTCCCATTACCGTTACTCACACCTGTACAGACTCTTGGATCTTCAAATCTCCTTTCTGCTTGCTTGAAGTTTCGTTCACAGTATATATCCTCAGGATATCAGATAACTGAAGAAAAAGGAAGCTTAAAAATTTGTGAGATGATAGCAGCTGCAACATTTTTTTCCCCTTTTGTTCAGACCAGACTGCTGTAAAACTTTTACGTTTGTCTTATTTTCTGAATGATGCTTCCTACTCATGACTTGCAGTTGTTCTGAGTTTATTCTCTTCTTTAGAACTGTGTGGTGCCCCAGCTCAGCTGCTTAAGCAATTGTTTCTGTCTAGAACACACCTTTCTTCTTTAGATGTTATAGTAACAGCAACTTCTTTTTGTTCTTGAGGTTTTTCTATGTAGCTCTCTCTTGACTATTGTGGAAATAGGTGAGTGATACGGGACTGAGCTGACTTGTGTGTTCCGTGTGCCTGCCTTTTGTGGGATCAGACAGGCGGTGCCCAGCTACATGATGGGTCCCTGCACTGCTGCTGTTTAAGAGACACTCTTCTACCAGAGTCTCTTCGCTGATAGGACTGGAAGCCTTTGGA